ACACACACACACACACACACACACACAAACACACACACCCAAACTACTAAGACAAAAATTATCAAGAACAGTAAAACCATTTTGTCACAGTTCAGAGGCGCTGGTCTTTTTCTTTTTTTTTCTTTTTTTTTTCTTTTTTTTTTTTTAACATCATCGGAACTCAACTCTTCCACATAATGACCAAGGTTTTCAAAGCTGAGCACGCTAATTTTTACAATAATAATTCATCCTGTTTTTGACACGACGTCCAGAATACAAACACACTAGAACTACATAATACCGTTCCTTTTCATTGTTACAATGTTGAACAAAAACAACGAACCTCCAGGAAAGATCTGATCTGTCCCCGTCATTTTATTCAAGAAAAATTCTGAAATTATGCATACTGAGCCCAAAAGTGTGAAATTATGCGATTCTGTTAATTTTAACAAAGAATGATAAAGGAAAATAATAAGAAATTATGCACACACACAAAAAAAATGATCAGATTTTTCTTAGCTATGCGGGGTGCATGAAACCACGGGGACAGAAAGATGTCGGACACGATTCAGATGTAGGCCTAAACAAAAGCTACCGCAATGGATTCAATATTTTTGTCTTTTATTTGTTTTTGGGTTTTTTTACCTTCAAGCTACTGCCATAGCGGTTTGCTCGGCAGGTGCACTACAACTACAATATGTGATGGAGTCCTGCACTCGTGTTGAGCCTGCAAACGAGGGATCACGCAACTATGTACGTTTAAGAAGAAACATCGAAAGATATAGGCCTACGGTATTATTTCTTTGGACGTCTCGTTCCCAGCTAGTTTGGGGATACATGTAACTGTCTGTGTATGGCCTCGTAGAGTAGAATCTGTCTATAAGCCTTGTGTGTGATTTCATACAGGTAAGTTGGGTTTTGTGTGCATTTAATTTTGTGTGCTATTTTTGTTAGGTTTTTTTTCTTTTGTCTTTTTCTTTCTTTCCTTCTTTCTTTGCATTTTTATTTTGTTCTATTTTATTTGAAGTTATTTTCTTTTAAATTCTAACTCAATTTATTGTCAGTAATTCTATTTATTTATTTATTTTTCATTTATTCATTCATTCATTCATTTATTCATGCATGTATTTATATTTTTTTTTATTTTGCAAATACGCCCTATTCGACTGTCTTTCTGTTAAAGTTTAAACAGAAGGCCTACCTTTTTTTAATGTATCTGAACTTTAAAGTCACCTCCTTGTGAAAATA